ATCGCAATTCAAGATTTATTTGAAGCATATTAAATATGCCTGTAGTGAAAAGAGTAACTGAAACTTGAGAATTTCTGATAGTTTTTGTTTGTTTGTTTTTCCAGACTACATCCAAAATAGTGTTTCCACATCTGAGATAAAGGCAGTCATAAGAACCAAGCGGAATGATGAGGATAAGCTCTTCAAAAAATGAAACCTGCCTGAATAATGAGGGAAGAAATGTGCATGATTGCATGATTTGTAAATAAACACTAAATACATTTAGTCTAACTCTCAGCCTGTTATTTAAGTTTAAAGAAAAGTAAAATAATTTATTGTTGCATTGCTGTTTGAGACATTCACTTTCCGAGTATGGGTCACCATACTTGGCCACGTCACATCACTTTCACTTTTCACTTATACTGTATGTATATATGTGTATACATATATATATATATATATGTGTGTGTGTGTTTTAAGGTTAGAATTTTGAACAAAAATACAAAATGATAAAGAGGGAAAATAATTGTGGAGGACTCTGTACAGTATTTAAACATGATTGTGTTTATGCTTTTTTCCAGAAATGTATGTTATTGTGCAAGGGGTAGTTGCATGGACTCAGTGGAGGGACAGAAAGCTCTGAGATTTCATTATAAAGATCTTCATTTGTGTTCTGAAGTTGAACGAAAGATGTGCGAAAGGTGAACGAAACACTTGGAACGACATGACGGTGAGTAATTGATGACAGGATTTTAATTTTAGGGTGAACCGATCTTTTTACTTCTTTTACCTGGAGTGTTCAAAGACATTGTTAATGCTGACCAATATGCCATAAGAAATTAACTGGGAGTAGTATGAATACTTTTCACAAACACTTGGTGACATCACATTTAAAGATTTATTTTAAGCATACTAATATATGCCTGTGGTGAAAAGTGTAACTGAAAGAATTTCTGATTGTTTTTGTTTGTTTGTTTTTCCAGACTACATCCAAAATAGTGTTTCCACATCTGAGATAAAGGCAGTCATAAGAACCAAGCGGAATGATGAGGATAAGCTCTTCAAAAAATGAAACCTGCCTGAATAATGAGGGAAGAAATGTGCATGATTGCATGATTTGTAAATAAACACTAAATACATTTAGTCTAACTCTCAGCCTGTTATTTAAGTTTAAAGAAAAGTAAAATAATTTATTGTTGCATTGCTGTTTGAGACATTCACTGTTGTTTTGTACCTTAATTCATTATATTGCAGATGTGTGCAAATATAACTTGTTATTCTGAATATTCTGGTTGTATTTCAGTGTTATTGTACAGCATTGTATTGCACTTCATGTTCTTGGCATGTTGTACCCTGAGTATGTGCTGATGAATTCTGGCAGGAGATACAGGGTTATTCTGCAGGCATAATCAATCGCATTCTCTATAATTACTGATTCCCTTTCGCTTTTGTCTTCAGAAATAATAATCCGTCAATCACTTCCTGATAGGTGTTGAACGAGAGTAAAGTTAGTCTTTATCATCCTGCATGACCGTATCTTGTATTCTTTAACCCTTTGCTGCCTGATGAATGATTATCTGTCATCAGATGTCTGATCTTCTAAACCTTCATGACATGAGAAATTAGTTCCACTCAATGAACACTAAATATCTGAACATCGAGTTCTCTCATGTATTTCTAGTCTAAAATCCAACATGATCTTTTGTAACTGCATTTATGGGGCTTTAGTCATTCAGTTGAACAGAAACAGCAAATAATTCTAAATCAGATGGTTTACACTTCTGAAAAATAAATCAGGAGATTTGAGCACAGGCAGTGTTCGAACTATACCGTGGACTTTGGGGGAGCCCACTTGTTTTTTTTTATAACGGGGGGGGGATGGGTTTGGGAGCCCATGTCTTATTAAGGGGAGCCGAGCTCCCCTGTAGTTCGCACCCTGAGCACAGGTAATATGTTCGTTTACTACTGATGTTATAACTGCAAATCTGGATGAGGAAGTGTCATTTTAAAGGTTCACTCTGCAGGATTTTCATCTCTGTATAGCCATGAATCCATACTGGACATCTAATCATCCCATTAAACAATAATAATAATAATTAACTGACACTGTCCCGGTGAAATAGTGTACAACAGAGGGTGGTAAAGTCCTGTCATGAAGTGTTTGTTTGGCAAACTTCATATATTCTGAGTCTTAGGGCAAGTTAAGTTTGATAAAACATTATACTATCTGAAATCATCGTACTAAACAGATAATATATAGATCTAGCTGACAGTAAGCTGATAGTTATTATATTTCTGTAATGCAGCCAGAGAACAGTCAAACCACAAAATAAACCATTCATGAAATCAAACACATGAAAAAATACTATAGTAATTTAGAGTAAATAAATACTATATTGTTTTATTCAATTAATGAATTTGTTGTGGTAATTCTATAATTGCTGTTGTAATATAACAACTATAGTAATATAAACAAATTACTTTACCCAATACTGTACTAAGTTTATATTTTGTATTATACTACAATACACTAGTTTACAGTAGTAAAAACTAAAGTATACTACAGTATTTATTACAGTTTATACAGTAGCATTCATTAACAAAGTGTTGTAAATACTATAATATATACAGTATAATACACTTTACTATAGTATGGTTCAAAAACACTACAGTATTTACTATAAATTACTATAGTATTTTTCCATGTGGGATGTTGCTGAAGCTTCTTCTAAAATCCAAACACTACATTTGCAGCATTTATCAAATTTGTGTATGCATTAGTTAATCATCTCGGGATTAGTTTAGAGGCTGTTTACTCTTTACTGTCGCTGGTGTTCGAGCTGTACGTGTTTCCGGTGCGACTCAATGAAGGCTCGAGCGCCGCCTGCAGGACGCGACGCGACGCGCCGCCGACAACGCGTCATTTACCCGCGACGAGCCTGCGACGAGATGGCTTCGATTCAGAAGGGGAAGAAGGTGGTAAATCAAGAGGATTTACGGCGGTTTATGAAGGAGAAGAAACTATCGAGCGAGCGACAGAAACGCGTTGACTCGCCGCACGCCAAATACAACAGTCTGGGTCAGCTGAGCTGCGCGCTGTGCAACGCGCCGGTGAGGAGCGCGCTGCTCTGGCAGACACACGTGCTGGGAAAACAGCACAAAGATAAAGTCAGCCAGCTGAAGAACAGAGACAGCACTGAAGCAGCGGCAGCATCTTCATCATCTTCCTCCGCGCTGAAGAGGCCCGCGCCGGAGCCCGCGTCTACATCCGGGAAACGCGCGAAGCTGCCGCTCACCGGAGGCGCAGGTGAGACTCGAACCTTCAGCGTCACAATCATAAGATCTATATGTGCAAATGCGACAGTATCAGCACGTGTTTCATACGTGTTCATCCGTTCAGCTCTACAGGTGTGAACTAGTGTTGCCAACTCTCGCGAGACAAATAAGCAACCGCAGCTTCAAAAACAAGCCCAATATTTTTTTGATGATTTATTATCATCAGTATTATTTATTACCAATAAATGAGCCTGCAACATATTAAACTGAAACCACTCTTTTATCTGAAAAGCAAAAACAGAAGTTATTTTACAAAAATCCGCAAACTGCAACAAAGTGAGAACAAAACTCATCTCCAATCAGCTGCGAGCAGAACAGGATTGGAGAAAAACACTTTGAAGAGCTTCAAAGGGGAGCTGTAACATAGCCACCTATTTATAGCTACTAAAATATAGGTTATTCTAACCATATTTACTCTTAGTATTAGTGTAGGACTACTTGTTTTTTAGTACAGCCTGTGATAATTAATACATTACAAAAACATTGTAAAAAATTAGGCTAAAAGAAAGTCATCCCACTCCTCTACGTCTACTTCTATCATCGCTTGGGTTACAGCGTCGCGCGCCTTCTTTTTGAACCTGATTTTCTCCAACGAGGCCAGGAACATTTGGCAGATTACGCTGCAGCACTTATATTATTGCACTGGTTGGCTGTTAACTGCGAGCAGACAGAGTGTCCATCAATGCACTGGAGAATACGGCGAACATAAATAAAGAAACGAAGTTGCTTGTCAGATTTCCCTAACAACCATATTTTTTAAAATAAGCCCAAAAAACCGCACCCGGGATTTTTTCACACAACTTTACAAAAAAAGAAGCCCAAAGTTGCGTATAATACGCGGACTTGGCAACTCTGGTGTAAACGGGGTCAAAACGCCTGTGATCTGACCTTTGACCCCACTCAGAATACATCATAGTTTCTGCATATAGCCTAATTATTCATCTGTCTGCTCTAGAAATGTGTTTCTTTTTCTTCCGGTTGCTGGGTTCAGTTGAATATATCTTCATGTATATTTCTGAATATATATCAAGTAGATTTTTTAGTTTCAGAGTTTTCCAGAAGTCGCTCGTCCACGCGATCAGGCCTGAAAACTTTTAAATCACTGCAGTAAACATCATAAACGCTCACTGAGATGATTCGGAGAAATCTGACTGTTCTTCTGGCACATCCCAGCGCTCACTGCTGCTCTAAACCTCTCATCATCTCACTGCAGCTTTATTAAAGTGAGCCGCACAGCACTGATGTTTATGAGTATAAACACACGTCAGCGTTTCACAGTCCAGACTAAACTCACATTGATCCATGTGGGAGAGGCCATCTCGGTGTTGATGACAGGCTAAAACACAGGGAAGAGGTGCGTCTTCAGATGCAGTCATGTCTGTCAGGACTGGTTTCGGTGTGGGTCTGTTTGAGATGAATGAAGTGTGTGTGATGTGAACAGGTGCCGTGGGAGGACAGCCGGAGGAGACGGCCTCGTCTTCACGTCATTCTGCGGGTCTGGGGCTCCTCGCTGGACTCTACGGTGATGGTGATGATGATGAAGAAGCTAAAGACGGTGTCCCGGCGGATTTCTTCGACAACAGCGTCTTCTCCGTCTCTCACTCCAGCTCAGTGTCCAAACCGGACGACGGCGAGGAGAGTGCCACGGAGAGGAAGGACCACGCGGCCGAAGCCTTACCCGAGGGCTTCTTCGACGACCCGGTGCGCGATGCTAAAGTGCGTCAGGTGGACACGCCGAGAGACCAGATGGACAAGGAGTGGGAGGAGTTCCAGAAGGAGATGCGGCAGGTGAACAGCGCGTCTGACGCCATCGTCGCCGAGGATGATGAGGAGGGACGCCTGGAGCGGCAGATCGACGAGATCAACGAGCAGATCGAGTGCTTCCGGCGGGTGGAGGTGTTGCGCACCAGACAGGAGGTGAAGAGCGCGATGGAGAGAGAGAGACGGCAGAGAGCCGAGGCGCAACCAGACGCCGGCAAGGAGGAGGAGGATGAGGAAGAGCTGATGCATGTGCTGACGCAGGACTGGAGGGCCAAAGGTGCTCTCGCTTAACACCTTCAGTGTTTCTCTGATGTTTCCCTGTTTTGTTTGTTACTGCTTCTGTACAGAGATTTATTAAATCAGAATGCATTGTGAAGTTTTCATAAAGCACATGTGGTTCGTCTGTAGTTCTGCAGATGCTTTGATCTGCTGGTTTTTCTCCGTCTCAGATTCCTCACTCTTATTATCTGTAATCATCAGAATGGCCTACAGCTACTTCACAACACACCTGCGTTATTATCAGTTCAGAGCTGGACGAGGACAATATAATACACAGTCAGTATTTGTGGTGTGCAATGAATGATGATGAAACAAAATGTATGTGTATATTTTATATATGCAATTATTTTTTTATTCAGTTGACAGCCGTAATATACACACTTTGCATTAAGAATTAGGGAGCGTACACATTTGAACAGGATGAAGATGTGTGTATTTTGTTAGATACTGTTTTCATACAGTACTGCCCTTCAGAAGACAAATAATATACTTGCATAATTCCCAGAAGACAAAAAAGACCAATGTCTGACTAAAACCAGACGTAGACTGTGTCTGATCAGCGTTAAGAAGAGAACGATCGGCTCGTCTGATGATTGAGTTTAAAACGAATCCTGACAGGTCACCAATAAAGAGATGATAATAATGGGCTGTTATGATCATATTTCTTGGTTTTAGTAACGCACTCGACTGCATTCTGAACATCCACGAAGAAGCAGATCAAACACTTGAAAAAGCAATTGTTTTTATTATACCAGTAAATGTTAACCCTTTTCTCTTGTGAAATACAGAATGTTCTAATGAATACTTTCCATTTTATATCCAGAAATGATAAATGGTCAATTAAAAACTCTATACTATACGATCTATCTGAACTACAGGGGAAAATATTCAAACATTAATGGCCATTTAATGTCCAACAAGGCAAGAAAAAGTGAAAGAAACTCTTCTTGGCAACCCTAACATCACTCTATATATGAAGGGTTCATATCTTTTGTGTTCCTTTGCAATGCCTAAATACAGGACAAGAACAAGCAGAAATATATCTACACAAACAAATAAACTGAGCTTTTATTCATGTTACATTAAAGAGAACATGCAAAACATGTACATTTCGTCTGATCACACATCTTCCTACTGCTTAAAATTAGTTTCATACGTAGAAATGTCCAGTTCTACAATATGTACAGCTTTTATCTGGTTTCATGAAGCGACAGTACAGTTTGAGACATGATTTCCAAACGTCTGCAGCCCAACACAAGCGGAGTGCAGAAACCATTCACTCCACTCAGAAATAGATATATACACACAAACATTCATGATCTCCATCCTCACGCTGTTCCTCTACAGATCAGAAACGCTTCGCACAAGCAATTACCCTCAAACATTACTTTAAATTAAAAACTAAATCTGATAAAACACAAGTGCACTGCATTATACTCTCTTAAATATCTGATGATTATATTTACTATAAGCAGTTGTATGGATCATATTACATATTATCTGACAGATCTTCATTTCCCTCAGTTCATACAGACGTCAAAATCATTCTTGAGACAGATAAATATTTAAATATGTAAGAGTGAATCTCGTGAAATCACGTCACACTTCAAGAATCATGGGAGTATTTGTCGAAGAAAATGAAGCCTAACTGTATTAAGTCTGTAAGAGGCATTAATAGATGTGAAATAAACACACTGAGCATTTTCTCATGAATTTAATGCATCCAGATGTTTGCTTCTGATGAGTTTATAATAACTATTTTTACAGGTGAATCTCATGACAGTAATATACCAGTTTACTGTATTATGCTGCAAAACAGATTGATTTAAATCAGCAGTACAAGAAAAACGAGCATGATTTATTTTTGTCATTACAGGAATGGGATTCAGGCTAAAACTGCATTAAAACAATGTCAGAAATTCACAACATCTTAATTTTCTTTTGGTAAGATATATGTCCTTTGATTTTGTGCTGATTTATGGCCTGTTCCTGACAGGTGTGTGAGATGAAGACGTCTGAATCATTAAACAGGTGAGCGCGGCTGTGATTATCTGATAATCCGGCGGGTTACGGGTCTCGTTAAGGGTTTCAAGCTACTTGATCAAACTCCGCTGAGCAGAACAAACACGTCCAGTGTGAGGAGCGACTCTGAGGTCTGTCAGTGTGTAAACCACCAGCGTCGGTGAATCAATGAATCTGACCGTGACCGAGGCCGCTATACCTCCTCACTGACGCTCGTCATCAGGACTGACCTCAGCAGCCTGCAGCTCCTCCAGCGAGTCTCGCTCCGAGCCCAACACCTCCTTCAGCTCCTCAGGGGCCAGAGACGAACGGCCCCGCAGCCGCTGCTCCACATCTGACTGCAAAAGAGCAAAAGCATTCAGACGTGAGGGAACGAGTCATCTGGTGGATGAATGAACATCACAAGCACAGGAACTCAACCAGGTCACGTTTAACCTCAAAATCAACAGAGCAATGTAAGAAATTAACACAAACACATCATGGCCATCTATAGTGTCTGACGTGAACCATGCGCTGAAGGATCTAGTTTAGATAAAAGAAACAAACGTAATCTAGATTTTTTTAATTTCGAGCTGTCAATTTAACATCTTAACGACTGACTGCATGATCGAGTCTATTAGAGTGCAGTGATATGAGCCTGAAGTGAGCCAATGATTCAATGACTCATTCATAAAGAGAGTCACTTGCTTCATTTCTGAATTAATTAGCCATCTGAACAAATCGGTTGAATGAATGATTCAATGACTCGCTCATTAGGACAGTGGCTCGCTGCCACCTACTGGCATTTTTAGTTTCATATTTAGAATATCATTTCATTTTTATAAAAATCATTTCAATATTCAATTAAAAAAACATGAATACCGATTTATTATCATTATTTAGGCAATGCTGAATCTAAATATTTTGATTCTAAAGCTACTTTTTTGTAATGTCTATTCGATGCTTTTCTCAAAATAATGACTTTAAATGGTGTTTTTTAGGGTAATTCTCAGCCAAAACTGATGTGCGATTAATTAGATGAATTAATTGGCACATCATCTAATTAATTTGATAAACTTTGAATTGCTTGACATTTCTAGTTTTTGTATTTTGTGCATGTCACGTCACTCCTTCAGTGGAGTCCTGTGAACAAGAAACGAGGAAAATAAGACTAATAAGCAGCAGTGAGCGGGTTTACGCACCTCTCTCAGACTTGACCCCGGGAAACGCCACGGTGCTGCGGGAGGACATCTGTGCTCGTTTATAGCGTCTGCGGGACAGAAACCTGGGGCGGCGGGAGCGTGAGGAACCTGGAGATCAGAGGAAACACACATCACAGCTGTCCTGAGTCAGCGTAAGCTCGTGAGATCTGGAGCGGCACACATACCAGCGTCTGCAGCGGTCTGAAGAGTCTGGAGCGGACGGACGGCCGACGGCGGCTGCGGGAGATGAACAGCGGTCAGTTATCAGAGAAACAGCTGCTGAATGAAGCTCTGTGAGGTGCTCGTGATCTCACCGTGTCTCCTGAGGAGCTCTGGTCCAGCGCTGACACCCATCTGCTCAGGTTAGACATCACGAATCGCACGCTCTGGATCTGCTCGCTCGACCATGACTGATGGAGCAGCAGAGAGCTGTTCAACTCCTTCACATCATCCTGAAGATACTGCAGGTCCTGTCACATCAGCATCACACAGAACACACCTGTGAAATGACCTGTGATTGCAAAGCCACGTTTCTACACAGACTCTTCCTCAGGATGAAGCTCAGAGTGTAAAGGCCGTCAATGGTTTCTATTTACAACTACTGCATGTTCATAAATGCTTTCATCATAACCAGCAAAGTATAAAGCTGATGTATAAGTGAATGAGAGATGCAGTGTGCAGTGAACAGAACTGACTGACAGCTCCAGTGATTCACTTTCTGCACATCTCCTGTGTATTTCTGGAACAGGTTCGGTGGGCGGCTGCGATGCTGACCGTGATCGATGTGTTTAGGTGCGACACAGTGACCTCAACACATGAACGAGCGTTTACACTAAACATGTGGCGTGATCACGTGTGTTTCTGTGCTTTCAGTGATCTGATCCAATCACAAAACTGACTTTGACCTTTTCAAAGCAATATTTGTAAGTTACATGCTAATATATTAATGTATTATTTACTTATGTATTATTATTATCATTAATTATGAACTTATTACCATGACCCTACAGGGGACAAATGGATGGATAGATGGATGGTTCTGAAGTTCTGATTAGTTCTGAAGCTGAGAATTAATCATTAAAAGAATCAACTCAAAGGAGTCAGTTCTTTGTGAATCGGACTACACTGATGTGTGTTTGTTTTTGTGTGCAGCTTGCAAGGACAGAAGGATTGTGTGGTCTTCATTTATCTCAGAACATTCAACTCAGGCTGCAAAATCACACGCAGAATTCGGGTAAATATAACGCTGGAGATTCATGATCACAACGGAAGTGTTTCTCGTGAGTTTACCTGCTTCAGCGTCACACAGCTGCTGCTGATGTTCACCGGCTTCTCTCCATTCTTCAGAAATCAAGAGAAAGCAATAAAAATAAGCCTCACAGTGGACACACATCAACACAATCACTCTTACTTCACATTATAAGCAGACACCGATATGAAGCACATCTCAAGAATCTAAAGCTACTAGCATGTTCTAAGGTGAACTAACCCTTAAACAAACAATAAAATATTATTTAGTAGAAAGCAGTGTGAAACATACGGCCTTCAGCTGATCTTCTCCTTTCCTTCTCTCTTCCACGACAGACTGAATCATGGTGACGTCGTGCTGGACGCTGGTGACAGTGCTGCCGATGCTGGCCACGCTCTATACATACACACACGCACACACACACACTCACAGATCAGTGTGAGCTCACGTCTGACACACACACAGATCAGTGTGAGCTCACGTCTGACACACACACAGATCAGTGTGAGCTCACGTCTGACACACACACAGATCAGTGTGAGCTCACGTCTGTCAAACACACACACACACTCGCAGATCAGTGTGAGCTCACATCTGACACACACACACACACTCACAGATCAGTGTGAGCTCACGTCTGTCAAACACACACACACACTCGCAGATCAGTGTGAGCTCACATCTGACACACACACACACACTCACAGATCAGTGTGAGCTCACGTCTGACACACACACACACACACACACACACACACACACACACAGAAGAGTGTGAGCTCACGTCTGACACACACACACACACAGATCAGTGTGAGCTCATGTCTGACACACACACACACACACACACACACAGATCAGTGTGAGCTCATGTCTGACACACACACACACACACACACACAGAAGCGCGTGAGC